TTAAACATGAGACTTTATCAGGATAAATTAAACTCCTATGGCCATTGGAGGCCGTAGGAGTTCAAAAATCGAATAAAAAATTTAAACAGATTCTTACTATTTGATTTAACTAGCTTGAAAGTAAATGATTATTCCTTTTAAAATATCTTTAATTTCTTGCTTAATTATTGAACTTGAGATACGAATTATTGAGCATCTTAAAAGTAAATTTATTTATTATTTGCAAATTTACATATTACTTAAAATTATCTGCCAATTTGTAAAAGTTAATAACGTGATTTTGTTTATCAATTATCCAATTTTGAAAAAATATGATTGGTCAACAATGAATTCTTGATTAATTGCTTTTGAAAACTCAAAGAATTCATCCTGAAAGAATCTGTCGACGCCGGTCTGGCTGCCAACACGAAATATGAGATTAAAAAAAACTATCTTTAATTGTTAAAGTTTTAAAATTAAACACAACAAATAAGATTTTTATTAATAATGTGATATGTATTACATTTTTGAATACATTGAAATTCGAAAGTAAAACTTGTTATTAAATTAGATACCAATTTCCCATTCATAATTAAGAGATTTAATAATATTAAAGAACTTTTGTTCAATTTGCAAATATTGAATTTCACAATTGTTCAATCAAAAAAAAATATTTATATTTGATAAAATTTCTTTATGCTTCCCAAATAGTTTCTAGAATTAACTCTATTTTCGCCTTTGCGTGGCGATGAAGTTATGATTTTTTTTTTTTGTACAACTCAATTAAATTTTTAGGAGACGTAAAAGATGTTTATAAGGCAATAATGATTAGCTAGAAAGAAAACTTAAACATCAAAAAAAGTGGCCTAATCAAAATCGAACCTGAAAGAGAGGTTTTAGATTGATGATTATAATTATAATAATTTTAAATGTCAAGATGGAAAACAAAAAAGAACTCACCTAACAAGAATTCATCAAAAAGGAATTTCCAAAAAGAATGATTACATAAATTGATTAGGTAACAAATCGAACTCATACTTAATTCTTAATATTACAAATCTAAATTCAAGCTTGTTATTTTCAAGGTTAAACATCCTATGTATACCAAAATTTAAAGTATATGAGAATAGGTAGGTCATTTCTTTTATCGAACAAATCAAAAAAAAATACATAGAAAAAAACTCAATTCATCTAGGGTTGGATTGGTCTTAGTCCTCGGTTTTCAGTCTTTTTATTAGCTCAGACTGGTTAATTAAAATAAACTTATAAACTATTAAAAGAAGCTTTTAAATAAGCTGTAAACTTTCAAATCATTAAAAAACATTATTGCATAATTTTTATTTCGATAATGATAGCAAAAATTGAAAATAACCTTATTTTTGAGACCGGGGACCAATCTAAAGTTTTCAGATTTCTCAACTTTATTTGAGTGTTTCGCTTGATATTGTATTTGAATGATAAACAATAAGTAAAAAAAAAACCAGATTGTGTTGAATTGATTATTAGTTTCATGCACACACATTCTGTTTTTTTCTCATTAAATAAATTATTTTTAACATAATAGCCCTGTTGATATCATATAAAAATTTGTTTATCCTTTCTAACTCAATCTTTTCGCCAGGTAAAAGGGTAAGCCATTGATCTAATTTATCTTCTACTTGAGGCAAAGCAAATAAGCAATTCTAAAGATATGATTCAATTATCAAAATGGATAACAATGAGATTAGGTTTTGTTCGATGGTTTATATGAAACCTCCTGCTAAATATCAACCTTTTAAAGAAAAAAAATAGGCTCAGCTAGAGTTTCAATAGATAAATGGATAATAGATAAGAACTCTCCTTGTTATCAATCCTCGCATATATCAACATAATTGTCAATTTGGATTTAATAATTTTTATTTTATTTAGTAAATTACATTATGTTATGCCAAAGATATAAATGGCAATTTTATGTCAAAATACTCAGGCACTTCTATCCCTAGTGCACTTAATGCTATCGGAGCGCAAACCAAGTTGCTTAAATTCCCTTTAATTTTTGAAGCGGCTAATATTCCAGGACCACAAACAGATAAAAATACATTCATTTCATCTTCACTATTTTTACCATGAACACCATACGTATTTACATCATTATTAATTTTATTTAAACCACCATGGTCTGTAGTCATTATCACTAATGAATCTTTTATCCAACCCTTGAATCTGTTGCAAATGATGTTCTGTACCTTATCCATAATTGTGACTACACTCGTCACAATCAGTTAAATATTTATGATTATAATTATGAAAGCTTGAATTATTTCCTACAAGATTTTGATATAGAGTGGATTAAATTAGAATTTTTCATATTGCCTTCTGATATTGAGCTAGATAAACTTCAAAATTTGAAAAAATTTATTGAAAAGGCAAAACATTTAAAGTATATAGAAATAGTTAGATCAAAAGATTGCAATATTGAAAAGCAAAAAAATAGAGAAAGAGAAATATACAATCTCTGTTAAGTTAAAGATATTAAATGTGTTTTAAAATATCAACATTCAGGACAATTGGAAAGATATAAAGAAGATTTTTGTATTTGCAAGTTAGAAATTGAATCATACATTTAAGTATAATTTTTACAAAAAAATAAATAAATAAAAATAAATAAAATTTATCTTTA